AGCTTCCTACGGTTAAAAGACTTCGACTCGAATTAGTCTTCAGTTTTTAGTCTTATGACTCAAGACTTGAGGGCTAAAAGACTAGAATAGTCGTGAGGCGTTGAAAATTAATCGAAGTTTTTTAAAAGGCCTTAAAAGACTGATTCTCTTTCATCACTACTGTTAGAGCACTAATTTTTTTTTTACTTAGTTCTCCAAAAGATATAACTCGACCATACTGCAATGGGATAATGTTTACTTTCGTTTGTTACAGTATTAAAAATCAATTCGATAAACAGACAATTGCAAATTTATTTAGTATTTACCCATAATATATAATACCACCACAAAATGGCGGACTGAGCTCAATTAGGCGGAACTACTCCTACAGTTAGCACGCGCGCTATGCTAACTAACCACTTCTACTGTTCTTATTGTTCTGTGGCGTAAACAATCCCTTAGAAAAGACCCGTGTACACAGCATCGAGTCAAAACGGCTGCTATCTACACCCGAACGGCCGCGGGGACGCTCAAAATGCCGCAATGACAATTGTTGTAAAACTTGATTGCATCAAACCAAGTCTAGGTTAACAATGACTTTAGGTAGCAGAAGCAGTAGAGCTCCTTGTGAAAGAGTTCGTCCAAGGACGTACTCCTATTTATGCCGCCAAGCAGTAATGTGAGTATTACTGCGTTCCGGTTTTGAAGGGTAATGGGGCTGGTGACATTGCAGGCACATAGTACTTGTCAACTTATGTCTCAAGATGACGGGCGCAGTGGCAGTGCTCCTCAGATTTTTGCATTTAAAGTCTGTCACTTAGTAACAAAAAAAAGTTTTTTTACTCTATTGTTTATAGTGTAAGCAGATTGTAGAGTTGGAAGTCAATGTACCTGTCTGGGAGACAGCAGTGACGGTGTGTGTATGTGTTGTAAATAAACAGAGAAATGGACATACGTTATTTACCTTGGTGTCGGAGAGCGAGCCGGACCACTCCTCGTTGTCCCAGTCTTCAGTGGTGGGGAACGAATCAACCGTCGTGCCGCCAACTGTAACAGATAGTTTCCAGTCTGAATATCATTGAAAATTCACGTGGTTTTTAGAGTATTTAGTGGCCGAGCAAAATTGACTACGTCTTAAGATATATCAACTCATTTAAAGTGTAGTCTTTATTTTTTAATTAAAGAGATTTTGATAACCATAATTACAGTACAGAGGACTTCAAAAGTCATTCACGACCTAGTTTGCCACTCTTAGAGGTGGAATATTGTCTTCCAATTTAAATCGGACCACTACTGAGGTACCCTCTCTCAAACAAAAAAGAATCATTAAAATAGGTTTACAAATGCGCGAGTTATCGCAAAACGTACATACAAAAAAACATGCAGACGAATTGAGAACCTCCTCTTTTTTTGAAGTCGGTTGAAAACTCGACTTAGAGGCTTGGTCTATGGAATACTAAAATGGACATCTTAGTTATTAAATTCTAAGAACTGATGTTTTAGCCACAGTAGCCTGTGTTAAGTAGTTTTACTTTACAATACTAAGGTACTCAGCTTATTTACGATTTTATTATATGTATTGATTTGAAGAAATGGCGTCAGCTAGCTGGTTATCATATCCGCGGCACCCTCTAGGTTGTAGCTGTAGTTGGTTTGCTCTTGAGTAAACACCGACGCTGAGCTATGGCCTTTTTGCTATAGTACACATATCTAACTGGGGGTCAGGCAGTGCTGCGACTCTGCCGTTTTTTTTT